CCTCCTCCTCCTCCTCCTCCTCCTCTCGTCCGGGTAGTTTTTGACGAACCCGCGGCCCAGCGAGGGCCCCCAGAGCAGAACTCGGCACGAACGGAATGGGTACGGAATGAATGGGTACAATGCCCAACAGCAGTTCCCGTTCATGTTGAACAAGACTCGCTGTCCGCGCCGCCGCGGCCTGTGTCCATTCGAGACAGAAGGCCGCCTGCCCAACAGCGGCCGCTGTTGGTTTGGGACAACACTTGTTGTTGGGCATGGTACCCATGTATTCCGTACCCATTTCGGGCGTCCAAAGAGGTGGGCCTGAAGCTGGAGCACGAGCAGAAGCGCTGGGCACCGCCACCCAACGAGTTCCAGTGGGTCTTCGACGGCACCAAGATCAGGTCCAAGCTGGACCAGAGGAAGCCGAAGAGCGAACAACTGCGGAAGCATGATTTCTCAGAGGTCCGTGCGGAGTTCCTGGATCTTCGTGGTGCCTCCAGCGCTGCTCCTGGAGCTCTCCGCCGCCAGGGAGGGGGTCCAGCGCCGATCCAAGAAATCCACGCGGACCTCCGATAAAGTACACGCCAGTCGCTGAAAGCAGGTATTTCTGGATTCCCAGATCACAATCTACTTCAAGCGCCTTCCTACTTCAAGAATCGACAGGCTTTTGCCGTGTTTTGTTATTCCCCGGGGGGGCCTGGACCCAATCAGCTTAATCCGCCTTCCTACTTCATGCATTTACCTACTTCTTCCGACCGACGTGTGTGCTTACTATGCCTATTTGGCTCCGAGGGGAAAACACACACAGACACAATTAATCGTCGATTCCCCAGGAAAAATATGGGAAACTATGGGAGGTGGGGGGGAAGACAAAAACCCAGAACATATGGGAACATATGGGGAGTCCTGTTGCTTGTGTGTATTCATGTGTGTGTCCCAGGGCCCCTTCAAGGAAGTGCGCCAGCGTGCGGGAGGGCATCATCACCGACGGCTCCAACATCATCATGTGGAACTGCGGCGAAGGCCCGGGTTCGGCCTCCGCCGGCGAGCTGCAGACAGGGGGGGAACGGGGGTTCTGAGAACCAGGCGGGCTCCAGACACAAGTTGCCTGACGAACGAGTGGGACTCAGACAAAAGATTTCCAACGGCCTCCGCCTCCGCAATCCTTCAGCGCGCTTCTCCTCCTCCTCCTCCTCCTCCTCCTCCTCCTCCGCCTCGCCGTCCTTATCCTCCTCGTCGTCGTCCTCCTCCTTCCGTCCTCCCCATGTGTTCTCTTATTTTCTCCCTTCAACTCCTCCGCTCCCTCTTCTCCTTCGTGTTCTCCTCCTCATTTTCCTCTCGTCGGCCTCAGCATTCCCCTCCTGTCGCTCTTCTAATGGGCGCTGTTCAAAGCTTCGGGTGAGATCCAGACGAGTTCCGTCCTCTCTGGCGGCGCCTTTTGGTTCCCCTGGACACCTTTGTTTTGTTCCTCTGTGGCGTTCCTCCTGCACCACCTTCTGTCCGACTGAAGTACAGGAGGAGCAGGAGGAGGAGGAGGAGGAGGGGGAGGAGGAGGAGTGGGAGGAGGATGAGGAGGAGGAGGGGGAGGAGGAGGAGAGGGAGGAGGCGGAGGATGATGATGATGAGGAGGAGGAAGAGGAGGAGGAAGAGGAGGGTGGAAGCATCCAGCACGGATGCAGATGCCCACAGCGTGCTTGCAGCGTGAGCGTGAGGAGGAGGGCGAGGAGGAGGGGGAAGAAAAGGGCGAGGAGGAGGGGGGAGCAGGCCAGGGGAGGAGGAGGCGGTGGAGGGGGAGGGCGAGGAGGAGGGAGAGGAGGAGGGCAAGGAGGGCGAGGTGGAGGGCGAGGAGGAGGAGGCAGGGGGGAGGGCGAGGAGGAGGGCGAGGAGAGGGGGAGGAGGAGGCGGTGGAGGAGTTCGGCGCGTGCCCCTGCGCCCCTCGCGGGCTCCTGCCCGTCTCCCGCCCCCGCTGCGCCAACCCCCCGCCCGCAGGCCCACCTCCGCCGTCCCCTTCCTCTCCTCCGTCCCTTGTCCCCCTGCCCCCCTCCCACTCCCCCACCCATCGCCCCATCTCCCCTGTGCGCCTACCTCTTTGTGTGTGTGTGCGTGTGCGTGTGTGTGTGTGTCTCTATTTTCCTCTTTCTATATCTCCTTTTGTTCCTCTCTCTCTCTCTCTCTCTTCTCTCTCTCTCTCTCTCTCTCTTTCTACCTCTCTCTTTCTGTACCTTTATTCGTTGTTTTAATACTTGTTGTGTTGTCTCTCTCTCTCTGTCTCTCTCTCTCTGTCTCAATATCTATAGTTATATGGTTCAGTATTTTTCTCTCTCTCTCTCTCTCTTTCTCTCTCTCTCTCTGTCTCTCTCTCTCTCTTTTTTTGTCTCTCTCTCTCTCTCTCTTTTTATGTCGCTCTACGTGTGTAGGTTCACACATACACATTATCATACGCAACTCTCCGAGGGAGTAGAGTTCAGAGCCGATTAATTGAGACCCGTCAGCAATTTGTTTGGCCGTTTCCCTAGGGAAATCCTCACATGTCTGAACATCGGTGGCACCCCTCAAGCAGATCGCGACGTCCGGGTCCATAAACACAAGGGTCTTGTTACATTTTTACATACAATCAAACACACAATGCATTTCAATGATTGTGTACACGATTCTGGTAACATTATCCCGGCAAAGCCACCTAACAACGATGTGCATACGCATATATGGAAGCATTCCCCTTAAGATTCAGGTGAGCATCCAATTGTAGAATTCTGCTGTTCTCGCAGTCGCAGTCGCATTCGCAATGACAGTCGCAGTGGCAACGGCCTTAGGATCCAATGGAATCCTAAGGATTCCTAAGGATTCCCGAGGATGCTTCACTATGCCTACGGATTCCTAAGGATGCCTACGGATTCCTCGTGATTCCTAAGGATTCCTATGGATTCCTACGGATGCCTCAACCTGCCTCAGTTTCAGCCTCAGCCTCAGCCTGCCTCGGCCTCAGCCTCAGCCTGCCTCGGCCTCAGCCTCAGCCTGCCTCGGCCTCAGCCTGCGTCAGCCTCAGCCTCAGCCTCCCTCAGCCTCAGCCTGCCTCAGCCTCAGCCTCAGCCTCAGCCTGCCTCGGCTTGCCTCGGCCTCAGCCTCAGCCTGCCTCGGCCTGCCTGCCTCGGCCTCGGCCTGCCTCAGCCTCAGCCTGTCTCAGCTGGCCTGCCTCGGCCTCAGCCTCAGCCTCAGTATCAGCCTCAGCTGTCTCGGCCTGAGCCTGCCTCGGCCTCAGCCTCAGCCTGCCTCAGCCTCAGCCTGCCTCAGCCTCAGCCTCAGCCTGTCAGCCTCAGCCTGCCTCAGCATCAGTGCCTCAGCCTCAGCCTGCCTCGCCTGCCTCGGCCTGCCTCAGCCTGCCTGCCTGCCTGCCTCAGCCTGCCTGCCTCAGGTGCCTGCCTGCCTCAGCTGCCTCAGCCAGCCTGTGCGTGCCTGCGTGCCTGCGTGTGCGTGCGTGTGTGTGCGTTGTGTGCGAGTGTGTGCATGCGCGCGGCCGTATGTAGACGCGTGTCTCGCGCACTTGCCGTGCACGCGTTGAGCGCGGGTGAGGAGACGAAGGAGGATAGAGGAGATGAGGTGCGAGGTGAAGTGAGACATAACCCCACGAAACAAGTGGGGAAAAAGGTTCGAACAGCTGTGCCAGGCGCTGCCCATGTCGAAATGAGGGCAGCGCGGCTGGAGTTCTGCAACTGGCGCAGAAGCGCTGCACAGCATGCCAGCCCAATTCAACTCTGGGGGAAGGCAGCGGCCGTGAGCCGCGAGGCTCCTTGGCCCCCGAAGCATCCCACATTCTGCGTATTTTGCGCCCTGTTTCGGAGCCGCGTTCCCCTGGGCCCTTATTCGTCGCACTTGCGGTCCGCGCTCCATCTGCTGCGGGCTCCTGCCGCGGAGTTGGCGGAGACGTCGCGCCTGGTGCGAGGGGCGGAGAAAGCAGGAGCTGCATTTCAGCGGCCGAAGGTTCTGGCGTCGACTTCCCAGACGCGCGAGCTAATCCACCGGGCTTCAAGTGTGGAGCGCGGGGATCTCTTTCCCGGCACTTTTGCTTGCGATTTTCAGAAACACTGGCACTTGGTGGCGCCGTTCCGGTTCTCCGGGCGCGGAGCGGATTGCGAAGCAATTATCACGTTCCACCGGAGGAAGTGTTGCAAGGCAGCAGTTAATGTAACGCGCACACGCGCGTGCACGGGCCAGCGGCACCTATTGTGCCGAGCGCGCGCTTTGAAAGAAGCAGTGGAGATAAATTATGGCCGCCCGTTCGGGCACATCTCGCACGCCGACGCCCCGGCACGCTGGAGCTCCCAAGTGCACCACATTGGGGCACCCACGCCTTTCGCAGAGGGTTTGCCAACGATGCTCTGCGGGCTGATGGGCACTCTGCGCTATTCTGGTCTGGCGGCCGGAGGGGGGCTGCCGCTTTCGGGCAAACTACGGCGCAGACCCAGGAAGCACTGGCAGCCGCGGAATGGCTGGCAGCTTTCTCGGATTCGAGCGGCGCAGAGGATGAATAGCTAAAACTACGTATGCATGCATTGGGTTGCTCGTGTCTCTTGTGCTTATTAACGTATTCCCTGTCGCCTGCTGCGTAATTTCTTAGGAGGCTGTGCATTCGGGAAATGTGGTTTTCGCGGCCACCCCATATCATTATTTTCCTTTCTGCGCGCGCAGGCCTGGGAAACGAACGCCTCTGGTCAGACGGGGCCAAGGCCTCCAGGAGGGCTGGGGCTGGCGGCGATGAGCCGAGGAGGCACGCCTCGGATATGATTGTTTTCTTCGAGTTTCGCCGCCACGTGACTCTGAGTGCTCGACCAGCCACTCAGCAGAGGCCAGGGCCCCTCGGCACTGCGCGGTGGCGCACCCGAAGGCAGCCAAGCTTCTCCAGCCGCCGGACCAGAAGAGCGCTGAAGCCCCCCCGGCCCGCAGGGCATCATCTCGAACACCCTGCGGAACGCGCGGGTCCCCCAGTACTGGGCGCTCTCGAACTGCAACGCTGTAGCCGCCGCCTTGAGGAAAGCCAACGCCTCTGAGTACCGCACGTGCGAAAACGGCACCTGTCACTTCTCGGCCGCCTGCCGTAGCGCACACACGCCGCACAAGGATTGCGCCCTCCCGGCGCAGATGCATTTGCGCGACACCTCCACGGGCGCACGGTAGCACTTCCGCTGCATAAACGTAACCACTGTCTCGGAACCAGAGCCGGATCCGACAAGCAGAAGGCGCAGCTTGAGCTCCGAGAGATAAGGTTTCAGAATGCCTCAAGCAAAAATGCCGCGAAACAGCCCACGATCGTCCAACATCTTGGCGGCGTGCCTTTCCGGCCCAAGCTAGAAGTTCGCGAGTCTGGGCAACAGTGGCCCAAACGCGAGGCCTCGCCCGGCCTGTCATGGCTTTTTCGGCGCCCTTCACAAGCCGGGTAGCATTTGCGAGATAGCCAGGCGAAACGCGCAGCAGCGACAGCGCAGACCGAATGTGTGAAAGGTATTTCGCCACGTGGCACTGCTGCGAAAAAAACGAACAGAATGCACAAGCCGACTCATACGACGGTGGCCATGGCTCCTCGTGGGCCAAGCCTGCTGCTTCGCCCCAGAGCTGCACCGCGCTGGCGTACTGGGGGGCGCCCCTCTTCCAGCCTGCGGAGTCAAGCCAAGTGGCGTGCGCTTCGTAATCCGCCGCTGTGCCGGCGCTCACTCGAGCTGTCTTTGCAGCTGTCCGAGGGGTGCCCCTGCTGGGAGAACGGATTTGCCCAGAGACGGCCCATGTCCCGCCTGCAGCATAAGCGAGTTTACGAATCATGAAAACCATTGCGGTAGCCAGGCCCACTGTAGAGTGGCCGGCGTCCTTGCGCCAGCATAGGGCGTGTGAACGGCGCTGCCTGGCTGGCAGGAGCCTTCTGGGAACCCGCCCCTTGGGCCCCCACTGCACCAAAAGGCGACGAACTGCGCGGCAGCGCCTGACAAGGGTACATAGTGAGGACCGCTTCCTGTTCTTATTCCCCACATCCTAAG